ATCAAATTATGTAGAAGGCAGTAAATTCATAAGAATATATCAGATTCTGGCCTTTAGTTTAGTGGAATGGGGTTTGCTCACCATGCTCGTTAAGAGAAGTGACATTTTAATAAAAATTCCTAATTCCACTTCTTCGGAAAGAAATTGGTCGATTTGGGTTAATATTAAAACAGAAATCGATTGAAGATCTCGACAACAGGAAAATTGATTAAAAAATATTAAAGAAAATGATAATATTGAGTATGAATCAGAACAAGACTCTGCCAGTATTTACTTTAGTAAATGAATCACACCCTTTATTTTCAAACTTTATAGATATTTATTTCATTCTAAACCCTTTGTTAAAAAATGTAACTTCACTAACACAAACGATGCCTCAAAAAAAAATACAAACAACTTATTCAATAGTTACAAATACGCAAGATATTTACAGAGAGGAGGCCTTCATCATAATAACTGGCATCAAAAAAATTATCATGCCCCACCCCCCCCCCCCCAAAAAAAATTATTTTTTATATATATAAAGTATTTACATCTAATATTTATATTTTTAAAAGGTTAAAATCGGAAAACCCACAATGATGGCATAGGTCACGTAATCATGAAAGAAATTTCTTTGGATGCAACTCGCCTAGATTTACCCCCTCCCCGCCGCCTATTAGACACCTGTACAATCAACATTATGGCTTCGGCCCGTCCACGGCCCGATAGCCATTTTTTAGATTTAGACCTGGCCTGTGGCTCGGTTCCCGTTCTAAATCGCTAAAACAAAAATCGCTAAAATGGAAGAAATATCATCCAAATTCCCAATTTGATTCCCAAAACTGGGATTTTGGATGATATTTCTTCCATTTTAGCGATTTTTTTTAAATTTTCAATTTAAATACAAGTGTTTAGTCCCCTAGTATCTATTAATATTAATTTCAAATTTACTTTATAAATTTTCTAGGAGATATAAGCCATGTTCCCAATTTTTAGCGATTTTTGTTTTAGCGATTTAGAACCTATCCCTGTGGCTCATTGCGGCTCCTGACCCAAATATTTAAAAAGGCTATAGGGAAAAAAACACTAATTCAAAATAATTACTATTCTTTATTTAAATTATATATTAATAAATTATTTCATTTAACAATGTTTGATTATTTTAATTTTTTTAATAAAACTAGAATTAAAATAAATATTTTTTATATGAACTAGAATAAATTATACATGTATAAGATATTGCTATATTAATATAAGATTGTGCAGTTTAGTTGAAAAAACAACAATAATTATAATAAGATAACTAAATTTCGTAAAAAATTAAAATTCACTAAATTTTAGTTATGAAATAGCTGTAGAAATATGTATTGTATATTTTTTTTTAATCAATAGGATCGAACAAGATAAAAACGTTTGCAATATGTATTATGGTCAGCGTCTACATGAGCGGTAGGGGTAGGAACAGTTTGCATCCTATTTTTTTGAGGGGGTAGGCTGCTTTAATGGGGGTAGGATAAATTTTTTGGGGGGTTATCTATTAAATTTTGAGATGAAATAGGACACAATTTATTGCTGTAAAAATTAATACTTTTATTATAGAATTATTATAATACAATTATTGACCAAATCTATATATTGCAAACAAGCATACACATTGTTTTCCAAATCAGCAAGCTCATAATGCCATAATAATTAATTCTTTGTAAATAATGGAGGTTTTAATTGAATTTATTATCTAAAAAATAAATTATTTATATTCACAAAATATCGATAGTTGGAGGTAGAGATAGATTAATTTAAGTTATCCTTATAAATTCTCTGAAAAGAGTATCAATATAATTATAAAGATTAAAATAATAATAAAAAGACACTGCCGCCGAAGGCTGCGAAATTTTTAGGGGGGTAGGCAAAGGTTTTTAAGGGGGTTTGCATCCAGTGAAAATCCTGTCATGTAGACGCTGATTATGGTGAGGTGAAAGAAAATGCTAAGAGAGATAAGGAAGTGTTTCAAATAAGTATATAAAATTACCGCTTTGAATTTCAATATTATGTATCAAACCTAAATATTCAACAATAATTTTGAATTTAATTATATGTTCCTTTTTTAATTATATTTATTAAAAAATATTATAAAAGCATGTAAATATTGGTAGTTGTTAGTTACTCTACTACAAAGTGAATTGGCCATAAGACTTAATGAGCATATTGCCCATGATGCCGTGGAAAAATATCGATTTTCAAGGCCGATCAGGAAAAAAATATGAAAAAGGAAGCATACAAGAAGTTATGACTTTTCTTTTCCATTTTTTCTTTTCTCCTCTTCTCTTTTCTTTTCTTCCCTTCTTCTCATATATTTTATAGTATCGATATGGATAACCAAGTCCACGATGAAGATAATACTAAAAGATATTGACGCTATTTATTAATGTACAAGCATGATAGATAAAACATCAAATTAACCCGACGACCAACTTCCGATAACAACGTTGATGACATTAATTCGCGAAAGACAAATAAAATGGATTTATCAGAGAGAGGAATGTTATAGATGTTAAAAAACAATATTTTAATATTAATTTAAATAGATTATAATAATAATTTAAATAAATTATATTATAATAACAAAATTATAATAATTTAATTAAAATAAAATAAAATAAATTATAATAATCGAATGTCCCTTTATAAAATATATCGCGATTTATATTTCGACAACATTCAAATTTAACTTATTATTTTCGTTATATAAACTGATACATTTTATTCACAATGTAAATATTTTTATTTAATAAAATCTTTTCGATTATAGCTTGCCAGCTTATGTTTCTATCTGATAAAGTAGATCTGAAAATTTTATTATTTCGACTTTTCCAAGATTAGTTCATTTTGATTTCAATACCATTCTTTTTAATATATCATACTATATCATGATATAATTTTTGAATATAAAATAAATTAGTATTTTTATTGTGATAAAACTGGGAAATTTATAATGCAGCCTAACTGATTTAGAGTAATATACTACAGTTCGGGTCTTTAAGTTAAATAAAATTATGGGTGGATGTCTAACTCTAAATTAAAAATAACTTCTACTAAATATAGAAATATTTTATCCATAATTAACATACAAATTTTAGTCCCAAATTATGCTCTGCGCAATATCACATATGTCCTAATCACTTAGCATAGAAATGCCTATCTTGAATTGGTGTTATAACTTATAAATATTTTAGAAAAATTGCTTTGGAAGAGGTTTGCAATCATTCAGTTTACAATTAAAGGTCACTTCCATAAAAAAATTTAATCCAACTAGATTTTATTAAGTAAAAATAGCCAATGCAAAAAAATGTATTTTTTTTTAAAGGTTTAACAACGGATTAGATAATTGTAAAAATCTTAATTATATTTTAAAAGATATTTTCTTTAGAATAACATTAACTTCAAATACTTCCTTTATTACATAAACATTCATATATATATAATACAAGGTTAAGAATTATTTATAAATTGAATAATAAAGGTTAACGTAGAGTAAATAAAACAATTTAAAATTAAAGTTTAAAATGTAGAAAATGCATGTTACTTGAGTTTGCACATTTAAATAAACTTAATAAATTATTACTATCTAAGCATTTTAATTAATATTATGTCGATATATAACAAATTCATTCGTATTTATGTACTTGTTAAGATATGATATAAATATAATTTTAAATAATTAAAATGTACATTAATAGGTTGAATTAAATTTATACTCAAAAAGTGTTAAAAAGCTCGATGTGAGCCTTAAATGCATTAATCATTAAAGATTTTACATTAAAATTAATTATTAATTGAACTTAGATTATTAGAGCTTGCTAGTCAAAATTTAAAATTTTATAGAATCAAAATTGCAAAACTATTCATTAAATTTCTATGTAGTGTCAAATGAATTGATATGGCTGAATATTTGCTAGCGGACTAATGCTAATAAAAGTGAAAATAAGCTATCAAATGGTGTATTCAATGCATAAATTTGCAGCTGCACTGGAGGGTGGTTAAAATAATTTTTTATCAATTTTTTATAATTTTAAGGAATTTTTTACAAAAATTCCAAGAACTTACATTTTTTATAATCCATTCTTTGTTCTTATACAAAAAATATCTAATCGCAATCTTATTCAACAGAATAGATAGGCCTAGTCAAGGTAGAGATTCTCCATCAAAAATTTGCCTATTCTTGTAAGTAACATTTAATATTAATAAAAAATTTCCCCTACACCCTCCCCCTCTCTCTTCCAGAATTGTATATAAATAAATATCTAAAGGAGAAATTATAAAAAGTTAATTAATTTATAAAATAACGCCTAGCATTTTTTTAAAAAATGTCAACACCAAAATTAATTTTATAAAAATCTGATAACTAAAAGCCTAAATTAAGATAAATAGACCTAAAAAACTACAATAAAATTCTTGAGAGGAACTCTCACCTAATAGTACCCCCCCCCCTCACACACAATTAAAATCCTCACTTTTATTATAAATATCGGATAATAACCATACAATAAACAAAGAATCTGAATGAAATTATGTTAAGATTTTATTTTTATGTAATTAAATATCTAATTATATCATTCTTATTTAATAAAATATCTTATTATTTAGTTCTTATATCTAATCATCAAATTTGAGAGATCATGAGCTGATTCGCAATTGTATTCTCACTATTTAAACTTATCAAAATATTTAACTTAAAATAATATTCTTAGTCCATTGTATTTGAAAGATCTCCTTTTAAAATGACTTTCTATTTTATTCTACTTCTCATTATAACTTATTTATATTTCTACTTCCTGCTAATTTTAAATATGCTACTATATTGGTAGAGGGTTTAGTTCTACTCATAAATTATTTTCTGGGTAATAGGTTTGTCGGTATCCTGAGAAAAAAATCGGCTTAATTATATGAAGGAAGACCTTCATATAATTCACTTTCGCTCATTTTGGGCAGGTCTGTGACCAACGTGCAAGATAATACAAGATAAAATAAGAAAAATGCTGCCTAATAAAGAAAAAAAGAAGCAAATACATTATAAAAACAATACAAAAGTAAATTATCATAGTGATTTGATTATATTATAATATATTTTAATAAAAAATTCTATTGCAAGTACGGAATTCAGAGCTCTAAACATTTTACCAATACTATGAAAAATTCTTCATCTAAAAAGCAGAAAGTTTTTATATTATTAATAGTTTAAATTTTTAATATTTATTTAGATGATAGCAGATACTATTTTTGAAGATAAAATTATAAAAACCTTAGGTAAAAAATTACATATTAACAAAAAGGTAGGTAAAAAGATGGCCTCAAGTATTCCTAAGTCTTTTAAGGATGATGGATTAGATTGTAATATTATATACTAGTTTATTAAGTTTAAAAAATTAATTTTAGATTTATTGGAAATATGTGACCAAAGTTATTCAAAAACTGGCCAGGGTATATTTAATTAAATGAATAGTAAAAAATAATAGAAAAGATATATGTAATCAACAAAATGGTAAAAAAAATTATGATAACAAAAGATCTAATACACCTGATATATTATCTCAGAGTGGGAATGATGATGAAAAATATTTAGCAAGCAAAAGAAAGAAAATGCTTAAGCATCATGATACTAAAACTAATAAAGTTTTAAAAAACAAAACTCTAAAAGAAGACATCTATGGAAGATTAGTTGATCAAGATGGAAATATTATTAATGAACATCTTGAATCAGACATGGAAGTAGCTTTAGATGATAATCTGAATGATGTAGCAGATGATTCAAATATGGTACTTAAGCAAAAACTTAAAGGCATATTTAATAGGTAAATTGTAATTTATTAAAAATAAAATTACAAAATATTTTTGGCAATTTTCAAATTTAATAATGTTAGCAATAAAAATATTGATAGCAACCTGCCAGTAACATAAAATTAAATTTGAATAAAATACTTAATTAAAGCTTTTTACAGCCTACAGATACCAGAAACCTGCAGGCCCAGCCTTGCCCGGTTACACAGGCATTTCTTTAAATTTGCCCACATTAGGCAGGAAATTTTTTTTAAAATAATACCCAACCCAGGTCATATATTTTAAAACCAAATAATTTAAATCACCAGCTAAAAATAAATATAATATATTTTAAAATCTGGACTAGGCCTATCCAAGAAATATAAAGATTCCCAATTTTTAGTGATTTAGAATTCAACCATTTTGATATTTATTACATGATAAAAAAGATAAAAGGCAAATAAGATTATATAAATTTATAAACATAAAATATGTATATAATATTCAAATTGAAAGTATAGCAAGATAAAAAGTATGAGTAAATCTATAGGATTTGAGATTAAATAAATCTATTTAATTTATGATAGGGTCATTCATGTCAAGTCAAACATGACACAACTGACCTCCTTCAAATTTGGTAATTTATAAGCACATTATTTATGTTCAACTTCTTGTTAAATCATGGAAGATAATTCCTTGGAAAAAAAATCCCCCAATAATTTTATTTAAATAACCCTTCCCTCTTTGGAATAAAAATTGGAGGAATTTATTTCTGGGGATTTATCTCCCACCTACCGTTTTATTTAGTTATGTCAAAAGTGATTTTTTTTTTAGCTAATTAGAGATTATATAACACTAGATAATGGGGATTAAAGATAAAAGTTGGGTTTTTTTTACTCTTTACTTATGTTAAATAATTAGTTATTAATATATTCCATATTAGTTTGAATATTGAACCTAATATTAATAGCTCAATTTAGTTGATAATTATGAGGAAAACAACAGAACTATTTTTTTTGTTAAACATGGGTTATCTTATTGCCAGAAGAAAGATTAAAATTAATAGTGGCAAAATTTGTGAATTTTTTTAAATTGTGATTTAAATTAAATACTAATATTTCAATAGAGAAGTACAGATTTATATTGAAAAATATCATACATCATAATTTTTCCCTTAATATTTATTACCTTGCAAGTAAAAAGTTTATTGATAAGATACCATATATAATTTTTAAAATGTTAGCTAAAAAAAAAAGGTAATTTTGATAATTTAAGAAAATTTTTTGAGCCCCCTGAGATTGTAAAGGCTAGTGACACCCCTGTCATAAATGTTTTAATTAACCTTTTTTCTGAAATCAATTGTTTATTAAAAAATAACACAAATAAAACAAGTAATCTAATTATTTTTATAATGTTATTTGACAATAAAAAGGATTTAGATACATTTAAATTAGCTATTTAATTATTATATGGTAGTTTTTGTTACCTGCCATCCTGAAAATCAACTTTATTATAATACTATCACTGACACATTTCTAATCCTATCTTCTACCCAGAAATATGTTTCAAATTTAACAAATAAATCGAAGTTGCAATGAAATGTGGCTAATTTTGTATCTTAACACTAATCTCTTATCTATCATGGTAAAATTCTAAGCTACAGTCTACTTATTTAGTAAAAGTATGTTTTCAGATGAAAAAATGAATTGAGTTTAAAAAAATTGAATGATGATTAACAAATTCAGGATAGAAACAGTAATCAACATCTTCAGTAGAGAGTATTTTCATCATTTGGAGTGTATTCCAAACTTAGAAATCGTTTTGGAAAAGTAGTTCAATTAAATCAAATACCAATGGGGACATGAATGCTTGTGATTATTAATTAGGGCTGGGAACCAATAGTAAAAACCCAATATTAACAAAATATTGTATTGGTATTGGTTTAAACAATATTTTCTATTTCTTGTATTGCTATTGGTATTGGTTTATATTGGTATTGGTTTAAATTCAAATTACTAATTAAAAGAATAGAAATAGTGATTATAAAACCCTTAATTTCTAATTTTAAATAAATATGGGAAAAAAAATGAAGGCTAAGAACCAACTCTCAAAATTTTACTGAATTCAAATTCTTTTTTTAAACTAGGAATTTATTAGGTGATGTGAATATAAAAAATTTTGATTTAATCATGTATTTTTTGTATCAACAATAATAAACGTATTGATTTTGAACCATTTTATTTATCACAAAGAACATAGCAAAATAAGTAAACTAAAAATGTAACATAACTGTCTATTTATACAAAATATAATGCAAAAGAATGATATAATTTTAATATAAGAGGAAATAATTTTATGTATTTAAGAAGAATCTTGCATGCGCATCCAACTTTTTAGGCACAGGCAAGCTTGTATAGTATGCTCATCTAGTGAACAACGTTGGTCTGTTATAACATACCGTCCTTCTGAAAAAGCCCTTTCAGAGCTAGATGAGGTGGCCGGAATTGCTAGATAATCTCTGGCAATTTTTGATAATACTGGATATCTATTTTTATTTAATTTCCACCAATCTAATGGATTTGTATCATTGGAAATTGTGGCTTCATCCACATATTTACTTATTTCTAAGTTTGTTATTATTATGAGGTTTCACCTGATAAATTTTGTCATAAAAGGACAATTTTTTGTTATTTTGTGCTTCATTTGTAAGTTCCGCTGAATTGTTATTATTTATTTTATAAATATTGTATTCATTAGTAAGATATCCAATAAGAGTTTTCATATTATTATGCTTTAATAAATGACTTGATAGTTTAAATCTTGGGTCAATCATTGTTGAAATAATAAAGAGGTGTTTATTAAAATTATAGTATTTATTAAGTTTTGTTAAGGCAGCTAAAGTAGCTGTCTTTAAAATAGCATTAGGATTATTATTATAACTCTCCACATGCTCAAAAATACTGGAATATAAAGGAATAATTGTTGAAATTGATGGAGTATTAGCACATGAGGCCATCTCTGTAGCAAAATTAAATGGTTTCAGAAATTCTCCATATATTTCTATATTATTCCAGACTAAGGCACTAATATAATTTTCTTGATTGGTATTTTGTAAATGATATGTTGTTATATAAGGTTTGAGCAATATTGCTCTTTCAAGCATTTGGTATGTTGAATTCCAACGTGTTGGTATATCCAAAATTGGGTGAGGAAATTTTAAGTGTGGATTTTTTTCAAGCTATATTTTTTCGAGTTTATTAAATTTAGATATAGAAAGTTTAAAAATTTTTTAAAAATTTCTTATTTTTTTAAAGTTGTATTTAAGGTTTCCAATGCAGCCATGACAGCCAAATGTATAATATGGCAAAAGCATTTGCACACATTATCAAAATTATCTTTTTGTTTTAAAATTTTTAGAAATGCTAAATTATTACTTGCATTGTCTAATGTAATGCAAAAAAAATCAATTTCAAATTTTATTTTTAATACAGAATTAAAAATATTATAAATATTAATAGAATTATGTGCTGATATAAAAGGAATAAAATCTAATAAATGATTATTTAATTTAAAATCATTATCAATATAATGAATTGTTATGCCCATAAAGGATATTTTATTTGGAGAGGACCAAATGTCCATTGTTAAGGAATATTTAGATGTAATGTTAGAAAGTACAGATTTTAAATTGATAAAAGAACTATGATAATGTTTCATAATTTCTATTTTTAGTGTTTTTCTAGAAACTAATGTTAGTGAAGGGTTACAATATGCTATTAAATTTTTAAAAGTGATAACCTCAACTATTGAAAAGGCTAAGTTATTTTGAATAAAAAAGTTTATAATTAAATTATTTAAATTAGCTTTATTATTTATATTATTAAATAAAAATGATTCTATTGTCTTAATTTTTTTATTGCCAATATTTATTTGCTCACATTTCTTATATAATGTTGGGTGGATGGATTTAAGATGTGTCCATAATCCTGAGGTTCCAAAATTGCAAAGTGATATATTTTTTTACATTTATTACTAATTGCCTTTTTTTATTATCACAAGTAGTATAAAATTCCCAGATTTTTGCTGAATTTCGTCTTTTATTAGATATTGATGATTCTTCTTGTTCATTATCGCTATTATTAGTACCAACAGCATCTATATTTATTAACTCTATTTGGTCTTCATTACCTAAATGAATAAATAAAATTGATAGATATCATGTAAAAAAATTTACTTCCATAATAAAAATAAACTATAATTATAAATAACATCAATATTGATATCACAGTAGTATTTGGAAGAAATAACAGATGTAATCAGTTTTTGCAATGAAAGTAAAAAAAATACCACGATATAATTATCCACGATAAACCCAAATAATTATGTTATTTTTAATATTGGTATTGGTTAAAATTGTATTTAAACAATATATCAAAACCAATATTATATTGGTATTGGTCCCACCCCTAGTTAATCTATTATTATTAAAATAATTTTTTTATTGAGAAGAAAATTATTAATAAAATAATTTTTTTATTGCAAAGAAAAACAGATAGAACATAATTAATCATACATAAGATATGATTATAATAAAAGTAACTATAAATAGGAAACCTCCATAAAAAACATATGGATATATAATAACCCAATAATTAGATAAAATATTTAAAAAAATGATTATATTTTATTACATGTAAATTATGACAATTTATTGCTAAAACATATTTTAGGCTCTCGCAATCCAACATGCATTACTGCATGGAACAATTGAGCCAGCTATACGCTTCTAACAGTAGATACAATATGAATACTAAAATTTTAGAAATTTTGAAAAATGTTTTGTTCGTAGATGTAAAACACGAGCAGGCTATAATCATCGAAATGGCTTGTTTGATCGTTTGTGTTTCGCGAAGGGTTGGAATGGAAATCGGTAAATTCTTAATTTCTCAATATGAATATCTTTTCTTATCCAATTTAGTAAGTGGTTATATTTATTACTTGAATATTAATTTCTTGCATGAAATTATCTAAATCAATAGTGAGCACCCAAAATTATAATCAAAAGGGCATGAGCCATTCCACGTCAAATCGACCAAAAAACGAGATTTTTTAACGACCATCTCTAAAATGAACGAAACTTGACATGATACTTATCTATGTTGTATATTTTAGCAAAATCAAAATTTTAGAGCGCGAGTTCAGCCAGATCTAAAGATATACGCTTCAAAGTCGAAAATCGCATGCTTGATTTTATTAAATCATGTTTTTTTAAAAAAATACTTGATAGAGTTACAAGTTAAATATCATTTTATAGCCCTTAAAATTTTATATTGGAAAATATCGAAAAAAATTCTTCTTATTTCCTGTAAGAATAAGATATTAACTAGGAAGGGTTTTTTTTGGGTGTTGATATTCTCTATAAATGTTTATTACCAATATATTAAACTATTAAATAAAAAATTTTGATAGCCATTTTTGTTTTTTTAATTTTATTATTTTCAAAAATAAAAAAGATAATATAGATGGCGTTATATCCTAAGATCATTATAACATGATGATATTGGTATTGAAATAAAAATATGAATTATATTGGTATTGAAATAAAAATCCATTGCTTATGGCCAATATGATATCCTGGGGCGATATATAAGCAAGCAGTCTACAGATATGATTATTATTAGGACGCTTTAAAAATAATAAAAAAAATTAAAAGTTTATACAAGGATGTTTGAAAACACAAGCTTGCATAAATCCTTTGATCTTTGTTTTTATACGTAATTGTTTAAAATTCGCACCTCGCATAAATAAAGATGATTTTAAAAAAAGTTTTATACGAGCGGAGGTAGACCACTTTCGATTAATATCTAAAAAATTTAATTTTTTTTTTTATAATATAAAAATTAAATTTTTTCCTCGCCTTATTTTTATTTTTTTTAATATTAACTTCCTTTTTTACTGTTTTTTTCCGCATGGCATGCATACATATACATAGCCATAAGTAATTCATTCATTACCACGCTGCACCATGTATTTTCGCAAATATATAGATCCCATACATGATGTTTACCCGTTTTATTATGTGGTCAGCTAGCATAGTAAAGAAGAGAGGAGTAAGAAAGTTATGATATATTAGTTCCGTTGCTGACAGAAAGTGTTAAGAAATTATAAGGTCATGTAATAAAACCATAACAATGATAATAATGTACCTAGACGCCTAGTTAGATTATTTAAGAGAAGAAAATAATTCTTATGTTTCGATAAATATTTTTTTTGGCATTATGTCTATATGGTGAGTCCTATAGGTGGAAAAAAACTATTGTTTTTAATATCCTATGTACAGGTTCCAGAGGTTTCTAAGATCCCTATAATTGTAAAGTTGTCCCTGAATAACATTATCATTTTTAATCTAATCCTTAATAGCTTATTTTTGTTTTGTTTTTTTCTTTTGGTAAATCGATCTTTGTTTGTACTAAGCTAAATGATGCTCGGGATCCTCAGTAATATATATTATTATCATTATGGTAAACGGTATTTGTTATCATTATTATCTTTAATGGTTGTTATTGTTTTCGATATCTTGTGTCCAGTAGAAAAAGCAGAGTTGTCAAAATTGTCATCATCATAGGTTCATTCTAGCCACTGTTTCCAAAAGTAACTGGTGCCAAAACATAAATTGTCATTCAACTTCCGGGGGAAGAAGAAAAAGCAGGCGTGAATGTAATCACATTCCTTTCAAACGATTCTTGTTCTAATTTAGACTATATCTGAGCATGTATTGTAGGTGTTCCTTTAGGTGTTTTTTGTTCTTGCTGAGTGCCATCAAATCTGTAAACGAAAGATTGATCAAGTCCATATTATTCAGATATTTTGCCAGTCAATAGTATTTGGGATTTTTCTGCTTCCCATAATATGGGGACCATTTCATGGACGAAAATATCATATTCTCCTGAGAATGTCTATAACTATGACCAAGTAATTCTAATCTCCTCAAACGAATGAGTCGATTGATTGGTAATATATCACACCTATTCCAGAGAATTGAGTTTGAGGTGTTGTATGGGTAATATGTTTTAGTTATTCTTCTTAGGCCTTTGTTAATAAAAGTTTGGGATATGTTTATATTGCTTTAGTGTCCTGCCAAGTCTAGAATCCGTAAGTTAAAATGGGTATAATTAGGAACTTGAAAAGTCTTATCTTTTGATTTGTAGATATTTAGTTGGAAAACCATAATTTCGTCAATTGGTGGTATCGGAATGGCATTGTTCGTTCTCGATTTCGTATCCAATATTGTGATGCCTAATAGAAATGTTGGGGGTAAGTGAATATTTTTGTTTGAAGGATTTATTTAGAATATCATTCAATATTACATGGTTGTAATTGATATTTAGATGTTTGGTTTGGTACTACGCTATGATTGTCGTAAATTATTTTTATTAGCGATATTAGATGTTTATCTATTCCTATGCCTTCCAGTAGGGCTGTGCCGATCCACATATTTTTCACCGATCCGATCCGATATTGGTTCAAAACTGATCCGATACCGATCCTATATTTATATTAATTTTTCACCACTTTGAACCAAATGTAATTAGGAAATCAATATTTTTTATGCAAATGCATTTAATTTAATTTTTTTATTTCAACAATAATTTAAAAAATTTTATTATGATAGATAAAATAAATATGATAATATATTAGATTTTTTAAAATAATTTTCAGTATTCCTCCCCGTGAAATTAGAATTCCGCAGATAACTCATTTTTCAAAATTATCTTTGTCTTTTTTAAAATATTTCCATAATTCAGAAACCATATAATAATTCTTTTATTTAAAGTATAAATAATAAAATTGGTTTTATTTTTTAAAAAAACTTAAAATATATAAAACTTTGGGTGAAAATTAAAAAAATATGAAATGCCCTCTATATTGTTGAAGTTTATTGTAAGTCCTACTCTATGACTCAAGATCTCCGTTAGATAGAGTAGACTTTTGGTTTCTTCTATATTCTTAGATATTACGACGATGTCGTCTGCGTAGGATATTATTCTGTTTACGAAATGTATCCTCTCGTTTGACCCTATGTCGACTAAATCAGCAGCACCGAGTACATCTTTTATGGCTTTATAGATTATGATATTGAAAAATAGAGGCGAAAGAGTACAGCCTTGTTTTACGCCCTTTTTTATCCTAAAGAATGGAGAATTTTTATTGTTGATTTTAAAACAAGCGAATAATTTAGAATAGTGGTTTTTTAAAATGATAATTATTTTCGGTTCAATTCCACATTTTGACAGCCTTCCCCATAGAGCTTCATGGTTAACATTGTCAAAAGCTCTACTAATATCTATGAAGGTATAGAAAGAGGGTATCTTATATTTGTAGCACTTCTGCATAATTATTTTTAGGGATAGTATTGGCTCCAGTATATTCATGTTAGGCCTATATGCACATATGTATTGAGGCGTCGATGATACGATTTTGTTTTTTAAGAGCACCATAAATATCTTTGAGACGCAGGATGTAAGGGCAACAGCACGGTAATCGGTAAATTTCTGTGGGTTTTTAATTTTGGGGAAATTGCATAAGAAGGACTTGTTCCATTCTAGCGGGGTATTTCCGCACTCCCATATTTTGTTGAAGAGGGCTAAAAGAAAAAAAGAAGTTGTCTTAGGTGCTATTTTTAGGTATTTAGCTGTAATATTATCCAGCCCCGGAGCTTTGTTTTTTCGTAATAATTTTTACTACATTTAGTATTTCGTTTATAGAGAAACCAGACAAGGTGATATTTTCGTTTATGTTAGTAGGTAGTGTTGCTTTCCACGAGTCAAACACCGTCATATAGTTAGCCATAAAGCCATTTGCTCATCCTGGTCAATGATTACTTTCCCATTACTAAAAACAATTGAGGGGAGTTTCCTAAAACTGCAAGGTTTGCAGAAATATTTTAATTTTTTGTAGGCGTCGTAGATCCTATTCTCTTTCATATCCTTATCAATATCGAAGGCTATTTTCGCGATTTAGATCCGTCTATCTCTCCGTAATAGTCTTTGTATGTACTTCCATAGGTCGCTGTGTGAGCCGTTCTCTATTTAAAAGCTAATAAAATATCTAAATTTAACTAATATATATATAATGTTGAAAAGTCAAAACATCATTGATTTAGAAAAGGCAAAACATAATGTTATAATATATGCTAACAAGACGAACTTATTGTGTGAAGCTGAAAGAAAAAACTAATAAAATATATTAAGGCAAAGAGCTACAACATAATTAATGTAATAATGTATCTTAACAAAATATACTTGTTATATGAAGTTTAAAAACACTTTAAAAACCAATAAAAAGTATTAAGATTAACAAAATATACTTGTTTAAAAATAGCGCCTAGGACAACTTCTTCCTTTCTTTTAGCCCTCTTCGACAAAATATGGTAGTGTGGAAATACCCCGGTAGAATGGAGCAAGTCCTTCATATGCAATTTCACCAAAATTAAAAACCCACAGAAATTTACCGATTACCGTGTTGTTACCCTTACATCCTGCGTCTCGAAGATATTTATGGTGCTCTTAAAAAACAAAATCGTATCATCGACGCCTCATCTTTTTCCTAAATACATATGTGCATATAGGCCTAACAAGAATTTACTGGAGCCAATACTATCCCTAAAAATAATTATGCAGAAGTGCTACAAATATAAGAAACCCTCTTTCTATATCTTCATCGATATTAGTAGGGCTTTTGACAATGTTAACCTTGAAGCTCTATGGGGAACGCTGTCAGAATGCGGAATTGAACCCAAAATAATTCTCATTTTAAAAAACCACTATTCTAAATTATTCGCTTGTTTTAAAATCAACAATAAAAATTCTCCATTCTTTGGGATAAAAAAGGGCGTAAAATAAGGCTGCACTCTTTCGCCTCCCCTTTTCA